TCTCTGTCTTTCTATCTTTCTATCTCTCTCTCTCTCTCTCTCTCTCTCTGCATGTCTCTTTCTCTCTCTCTCTCTCTCTCTCTCCCTCTGTCCGTCCGTCCGTCTGTCCATCCAGCCATCCGTCCGTCCGTCTGTCCATCCAGCCATCTCTTTCTGTCATCCCTTTCTCTTTCGTCTCTCAGTCACACATATATGCACGCCCATACGCAAGCACACATACACACTCTCTCTCCCTCTCGCTCGCTCTATCTCCCCCCTTCTCTCTTTGTCTGCCTCTATATATCTCTCCCCTATCTCTCTACATTAAATACTGCCCTGACAGTTAGCAAGTACATGGAAAACCACTCACTGCGCGCTCATCGGTCCTGACGTCCTCGCATTATTTTCCTACTTGCCCTGAACGGCGTTTGTAAAGGCAGCAACGACGCCTGTAACCAGGTGGAAAAGGTCAATAGAAGTGGTATAGCTGCCACTTCGCAAGACATAGTATAACAAAAGAAGATGGTGCGCAATTAAAGCATGCGATAGGTTCACTACATGATACATCATTATTATATTACACAAAGATTATATGATAACAGTAGATATGAGTTATATAGTATAAATATGGCCAATATGATGCCGTGTAACAGATGCATTCCTTTTATAAGAAACATCCAGGTCACCCCGACCATTACCCGAACGCTTTTAGTTGTTATTTTTTTGTGCGCAGACAAAGAGCGCGCAATGATTGCAAAGGTTATAGTGTGAGGACATGTTATTCCTAACCAGCAGTTATTGTGATGATAAGAATACTGTGCATTCAAGTTATATGAAGAATTGATCACATATAGATATTGAAGGTGGCGTCTCTGTTGACATTTCAGAGTGATATGCTGCGCTATAGCTATAGCGTCCTGTCGCATTGACGCAAGAAGGAGAAAGAGACAAAGACAAAAGGACGTTAAAGTCTAACATCCGTTTCTCTTGCAAGATTTTATGCTGTGATTCTTAGAAAGTAGACCGAATTAGATCATAAGCTAATGTGTTCAAAAACTATCATAAGATCGAGCGCTATCTAGAACATGTCTGTCACCACATTGACCACAATAAGATAGGTCTGCGTGTAATCACATACAAGCAAAAACTGCATCACAGCTTTATAGGGATCTGCGGCACACATCGGGGCAATACAAAGTTATCAGGGTCACAAATGTGGTTATAGTGTAAGAAACTGTAATGCAATAAAATGAAAGTGTCAATGACTGTAGCTCACCACAAAAAAAGGACACAAATGAGTGAGTGACTGAGAAGAAGTCAGTTTTAATTGAGCAACCATCGACGTACATTTCTGTTTCTGTTTCTGTTGTAGTACGTTGCAGTATCCAAATTTGGCATCGAGGCAACGGGCTATAGCTAGCCATGAGGTGTGACCTAGCTTAGGTAAAGCCAGGTAGTTAGCTTTTTTAGCCAATGGCACTGAGGGTGGTCACATCCAGAGTTTTTTTTGCGTCCTCAGTGGTTCTTTTACGTCCCCATGGCTAGCATTTCTGGAGACGAGAAGATTTTACGTGGTCATCCGAGCCACGGGAGATTCACAGTCTCCAATGTTGAGAGCCAGGTTTTTACACCTTGAGAAAATTCACTGCCACGGCCGGGGTTTGAACTCGCAGCATTCAGTGGACAGTGCACGATGCCTACCACTGGGCCACGCAGGCTCCTCTAACATTATAGAAACAAAGAGTATATATGGGAGAACTCCCATTATATACTCTTGATAATTATATGTGTAATTTTGTATGTGAAAATAATAAATAATATTATATATAAATTATAAATAATTTATAAACCAAAATTAATCACAATTTGTGACGGTAGAAGGCGCTACACCCGCTTTGATGTTTCTTAGCATAAATCATTATATCATCATAATAATAATATAATAATAATAGTATAAATCATAATATGGTCATAGCAGGAATTTTGCATTAAAGATATTGTCAATGAAATCTTGTAAAACGAACCAGATTTTTTAAATATCAAAACCCCTAGCCCTTATTCATTCACATACCAAAAATGAGCAAAATCCGTTAAACCTGAACTGACTAATGGCAATTCCAATTTTTGCCAAAATTTTTGCCAATTCCAAAAAATTGCCGTGGCTCGAAAGTACGTCGACTGGTGTGCTCCAAAATAGGACGTTTAATATGGGAGCATAGCAGTAACAACTATATACCCAATTTCAAACATGTGGGTCAAACGGTTCCTGAGTTATCGTTGACCGTAGCCAAATGTTGACGGACGGACGGACGTACGACGGACGACGACCCATGGCAATAGCTCAGCTTGACAATGTCAAGGTGAGCTAAAAATGCTAGAATTGCAATTATCCAGTAACACTGCGACGTGGAATTGAGGAATTGAGCAGGAAAGAAAACCAACATATCCCTGAAAAAGCAGTCAGACTAAGGTTACTCCATGCATGCTTTCCTTCTCCCTACTTTCACCCCCGCCTCTCTCACCTTTGTCTTTATCCCCGCCCTTCTTTCCCATTCTCCAGCACTTCCTCTCTCCTTACACCTTATTGTCTTGCCCTTTCCAAAATAATGTATCATCTAGGCTACAACCTTTGAAATTATTGACTTAGGTGAAGCACATTACGTGCACGCCATCCGTTGTAATGACCAAACATTCCCCTCGTCTTCAATTTCGAAAAAAAAACCACGAGCTGAAGAGATTCTGTGCCAATTTCCGGAACCTGTACTTTACCATTGAATCGCTTGCTTGTATAAGCTGCGTGGCCATGCAGGCACCTCGGAGTGAGAGCCGGCCAATCGCTTGTTTTTAATCAGTGTCGACCTTAGCTTGCCAATCGCTCGAGGCGCGACAAGAGAGCAAGACCGGCTAACGAAAAACGCATTCGTCGAAAATTGCAAAATTGTCACGAAGATTGGTTTTCATGCCATTGTGCAAGAATCCGCTTACATTACCAGTTAATTGCGGCATCACACGATTTCCCATGAATAAACCCGGGCTACACGGCGCGTGCTTAACAGCCTGGAGGCAGATAACCAGATGCTGTCAGATGCTTCAATCGTCAGCGAAACGAATGCCAAGACAAAATGCCAAGACGACGTTTCCATGACATTGCCTGCAGCAGGCCTCTTCAACTACCACGCACCACTATAGTGACTCGACTCACATTATAGTACGTTACTTGGTCGATTCAATCATAAACGCACTTTCCTCATATGATCGAACTGTGCATGGTGGTCCAATCTTGGAAATTACGCATGTAATCTCTCGTATTTTTGTCGCCTCGTATTTTTGTAATATTTTTGTCACCGAAATCATGCAGGTATAATATCGCACATCGAGAAATCATACGCAACGCTTTCCGGCTTAGCAGCACGTCCTACCGCCCTGAACAGGCATGGTGGTGCAGTGAGTACGACATGTACATTGAAAATGCAAACAATTCAGCCACGTCTACAGCTAACACGCGTACCCAGTCTCGATTTTTCACCACTTCTTAGTTTCTTAAATTTAGTGCCGCTCCGATTTGCAGAATATATTACGAAATACGGATACACGAAATACACTGAAAACTGCTCTCAAAAAAGAAAACAACACGCACGTTGCACCGGCACGCAAATACAAGCGCAAAAACGCGTTTGCGTCATAGGAACTACTATTTTTTGCATTTAACAGATTTCTATTTCTAATGTATTGTGAAGTTGATATAACTGGGATGGACATTATTGTTGTTGTTATTTCTTATGATTATTATTATTATTGTTGTTGTTATCGTTATTATTTGGCATTACTCAACCTTGATAGAACCTATAGCGTTGGCAACGTAGAACCACGCGGACCTTCGCATGCCTAGTCAGTGAATATTCGTGTAACCGTCACGCCATGCAAACTGCTAGTAATCGGTTCCAATTTGAATTCTGCCAGCTGAGCACCCAGCAGGGGAAGATTCAGTATACTCTAAAATGCAACTAAAGTTTCTTTACGATCGTCAGACTAGTCCTACAAACTGATGGGAAAACTAGTAGCAAGGCCATGTTGCCAGCCATATTTCACTTTGATTATAGGCAAACTGGATATTTCGTATGAGGACCTAACAAGTTAACAACTGCAGCCAGTATATATGGAGGCGCCATAATAAATGTATGTAGATGTAGGCAACTAGTACACTAACATTAATCACCAAGCTGAGATCAAATGGTCGGACAACAACGTTTATTATTTTTACGTGATACACTGATGTAACTAGCAGATGAAATCAGACATCAGAAATCATTTAAAATTTTCTTAAACATCGTCTAACGTTATGGTTGGTTGTTGTCGCTGCAGTGTGTCCTGACCTTCCACCATTCGCGATTATATGCACTTGGGCTTGTTTTTATAATGAGAACACGAAACAATTTTAAAATTTTCATAAGAGTAGTCAATAATAGTACGTATACAGTTCATGCGTTATGTTCAATATCCTGCAGATGTCAATGACCTTATTGCGATAAAAATACTCACATAATTGGTAAATGAAATACCACTTGCACGTGTTTTATTATATATTGTAGTTTTTATTTAATTATTAGTAAACGTTCTCGCTAAAGTGCCATTATACCAACTCAGTTGTGCATTCATGTGTGTGTGGCGTCAGCCAGTAATGGACAATAACTCTGTTATAGGGAAGAAATATGCAAATGTTCACATTGCTTTTATAGTCTGTAAATGTTACAATTTCCCCAAAAATTTCTGTTTTCTGAAAAAAACTGTCCACGAATTTTGCCATTTCTTGCTATTTTCCATACCTACGTGTACCATAGAAACATACACATTGACAAATGACGCAGTTAATGTTAGTAAAGTCAATACAATCCAGAGGGATATAAGTCCCTAATTTCTTTAAGACACTTTATTGACAACGGTGCAGAGAATTTATGTTGAAAAGTGTGTGATATGTTACTGCAATTTCAGCGTGTGTATAAATTAGCTGTACAAGTGTGCCTATGACAACGTCAGTGCATGTACAGTTCAATAAACAGCGATGAAGTAAGTAAATCCAGAAAGATCCATCAGTAGTGTCTATAGCACGAAAGGAACAACGTTCCCAACTGAGATATATAAGAACTAGAGGATACATGTCTGCCTGAATATCTGTTATACTGCCTGCTCACGGTACATACCTAACTGTTGTGAACTACAGAAAATTGAAACTCCAAGAACAGCTATAATTTCCACTGGCTCCATTGGCCTGTCTTTTGAAATGTGCCCTTCGACACTGACACCATACAATCGACCGCCCCTGCAGGATTAGGCCCTAACAGGCTGCATGTTCATGGCAATTTATGGCCATGTTTTCCGAGCATGCTGACCGTAGTTCGCTGTCTCCTGAAGCTATAGAGATGTCTTGATCGAACAGCAGAGACCACTGACA